AAGTAGTCAAACTGAATTTTTAAAAACCAAAATACAGTTTCAAAGCAAATTAATTCAGATACAAAACTTTAAATTCAGTTTCAAATTCTGCACATTCAGATTTAATCTGAGAAATTCAAATTCAGTTCCTGCTGGCACAAGATTTATCCCATAGGATTGTAGTAAAACTCATTAAATAATGATTGAAAGGAATTATAAATTAACTTCTGTCAGCCTGGTTCAAGATGGCCGCCACAGCTAATCGGCCTGATCAGTTATTTTAATTTAAATTTGTAGTGGTAGATTAGAGTCACTCCATGATGAGCGATGTTTTAAAGATTTAGTTCTGATCTGCTTCAGTATGAGTCAGAACCGGTTCTGTTCTGGTGGGCTGAGCTGGAGCACTGCACACACACCTGTCAGGTGACATTGTTCTCACCTGTTAACTTTGTTTCCTCCACACACTCTTCTGTGGAGCTTTGTGAGACTCTGATGCAAAGAGMGGCTCCAGCCAATCAGGAGCCAGAGGCCGGACAGATATTTAAATGAGCCGTCCTTATATGGGCATGGCCCCGCCCCTCTCCCGCTCCACGCGGTCCCACAGGATGCTCGGAGCGTCGAACCCGGGAGAAGGAGCTCTCCTCCGGGACAGCGGAGCCATAAAGAGCCGGGGAGGGAGGGGAGGAGCTGCCCACTCCCCCCCTGCTGTCCCCCCGGACCCGCAGCCCGCCTCGGTCCGTCTCTGCTCCTTCTTCTTCATTTCATCCCGCTCCTTTTTCAAGCTGCGTCCGTTTTTATCCCACTTTTCTCCGCTTTGTTTGTTTGTCCTCCTGCGCGGCTCGGTTCGGTTCTCCCTGTCCGGCCCGGTTCTGCTCGGTTCTCCCTCTCCTCTCCTTTTACTTCACACGGAGGTTTTAAATCGCCGAACCGCGGCGGGGATCTAAAGAAGCCCAGAGGAATCCGGGGCTCTTCTCTGGATTTGGACCCGGTACTTTGGGGAAGCTGACTCCTGTGTCCCCCCTCCCCTCCTCCTCCTCCTCCTCCTCCTCCTCCTCATCACTCCTCTCCTCCACCTTAATCCAGGTGGTCCTCTGGCTGCTTGAGTGGCTCTTTCAGGGAGGATTATTCTTCATCTCGACTCGGTTCTGAAGCTCCCAGAAGGACGTGTTGATGTTCTCCATCCAGGACGGCCTCCCCCGGGGGGCCCTGACCATGAAGGAGGAGCCGCTCCCCACCGGCATGACCCCGGTCCGCTCCTGGATGCAGGGCGCGGGGATCCTGGATGCGAACACGGCGGCCCAGAGGTAAAACACCGCACACAGAACCGAGCCGAACAGAACCGAGTGTTCGRCTCAGTCCGGTGGAGGGAGGAAACTTTCTGTTCGAGTCCACCGGATCGAAAGTCCGAACCTCCGGTTCTGGAAAACCCATCAGGTTAAACTGAGAGGACAAGATTTGTTTTAAATTCTAACTAATCATCGGAACCAGAACCAGCAGATGGACATTATGAACCAGATCAAAAAAATGACAAAAACCATGAAAAATAAAATAATTCACTTTAAATAAACAAAAATGTTAATTTATCAACTTAAAGCTGAAGTTTAAACAGATTCCCGTCGTTCGGCGGAACATTTGAGATTAGAGTTAAAATAAAACAAACTGGGTTTGATGGTTTTCAGCTCCGAACCGCCGAACTCCTCAGCCGCCTCTCGGCTTCTCTCGGCCCGGTTCGGTTCCTGCCGCGGCCCGGTCCGTGCGGTTCGAAGAGCCGAACAGCTTCCCGAACCGGAGTCATCTTCAGAAGTCAAGACGGCTTCAACAATATCCACCAGAACCGAAGTTCTGCTCGTTTAAACCCAATTTAACCCGGTTTTATACGGAGTTCGGTTCCTGCTTTGCTCCGAGAGGACCGGGAGAAAACCTGCTTTTATTCTCAGGTTCACAAAAAGTTTCACAGTTTAGTTTTAGTCAGTGGGTTTTTACAAATTTATTCTACAAATTAAAGCTAATTTAACGGATTAATTTTCTGTAAAATGAAACATTTTGATTTTAAACGGTTTTATTATTAAACCTCACAAATTTAAGCTTAATAAAATAATTTTAATTACGGTTTTTAAATCTTAAAAATGCTCTTATTTGTTTAGCTTCAGGTCCGGTTTGATAAAGTTTTAATTTGAATTATTAAACACAAAAATCAGATTAAACCTGAACTTGAGTCAATCTGCATCAAAACCCGYGAATCCCGCAAGACTCTCAGATTTAATCTGATTTATTGTAACTATTTCCAGCTGTTTCTGCAGATGTTTGAAGGTAAAATTAATCTCTCAAGTCTGCATTAAATTTACAGTTAATATTTAAGGGTCTTAATTGACATTTTATAATAAAAAGAGCTTTTTAGACAAAAAATATAAATAAACATTTATTGTTCATCAAATTAAAATAAAAGTCCACATGGCTCAGACTCAGAAATTACAGATTAAGCTTGTTTTACAGGAAGTTAAATATTTGCTGCACTTTCATTTTTATGTGTAATGCAGATGTGAAAAGTTTAATTTATAATATCTGATTTATAACAAACCTTTTTAATTTAAGATTAAATCAAGTTAAAGAAGAAACTAATCTGCTACAAACAGAGTTAAAACAGACGAGACTTCAGATTAAATCCTGTAAATATTAAAATATGAGGAAGAAAATCAGAAATATTAATAACATTTTATAAACTGAGTGGTTTTTTGAAGAGTTAAAATCTGCTGAGCTGCAGCAGCTTCAACCTGACAGATAATCCAGACTAACAGAACAGGTGAGAGGAAGAATCAAAAGCTTAAATAAAGTTAAATTTATCTGTTTAATCAATAATCCAGCATAATCCAGCATAAACAAAATCAAGTCTTCAACCTGAAACCTAAAAACAGTAAAATCCTCGTTACATCAAATATAAATAAAGTTAAACTTTAAGGTTTGTTCAGGTTCTGTTCGGGTTCTGTTCGGGTTCTGTTCGGGTTCTGTTCGGGTTCTGACCCATAAACCCAGCAGCAGTTCTGCAGCGTCTCAGATTAAAAACATTTTATTTATAAAAACAGTTTTTATAAATTTTTACATTTTCATTAAATTTGTTTAAATGCTCTGAAGCCCGTGGACCTGATGTTTCCTGACCCACAGTGGTCCTGAACCGGACCTTCAGAACCTTTCTAATTAACTCAGTCGATCAAACGCTGCAGTAAGTAGGACCGGTTCTGCAGCAGAACTGAACAGAACCGCTCCACGTTTGGATCGGACGTCAGAACATTTTAAAAAGGATCAAAACTAGAAGTTTTATTATTTTTTATTTAAAATAAAATCAGAACCGGACCGATCCGACCCGTAAGCCCTCAGACCAAACCAGGATCCTCTGAGACCTGCTGGGTCCGACTCAGGTTCTGTTTGTGGTTTCACTCATTTCAGCTTTTTATTCTGATTTAAAATGAACGTTTATTAAAAGATAAATGTTTAAAACTGATTTATTTATTCATCAAACCTGAGGATTAGATTAAATTACTCTAATCTGGAGAGGTTAATTTATGTTTCGATGAGTTAAAGACTTTTTTCAGAACAAAACTGAAAACAGAAAGTAGCTTTAATCCATTAAAAGTCGATTTGAAGCCTATAAAAACCTTTATCACAGATTATTTCAGATTATTTGTTTAACAGGCTGAAACTGAATAATAACAGAATAATCACAAACAGGAAGAGAAGAACCTGCGTTTGCTGTAATCCAGAATAATCCAGAGGAGTTTTATTTAACAACCCGAGGACTTTTTAAAACAAGGTTTTCATGTTTTGTTAAAAAATAATCTGGTTCGTCCCAAAAATCCTTCATGTTGTTTTTATTTGATCTTTTTAACATTTAAACTTCTGATCAAATCATTTACAGATGTTCAAACATCAGCTGATAATCTGAGGCTGTTGCTCTGCTGCTGTGAAGCCAGAGTTTAGATGAATGTAGATTTTAATCTGATTATTAATCTGATTATTAATCTGATTATTAATCTGATTAAACCTGTACGAACAGGTAGAATCAGATGAGTATAGATTATTAATCTGATTAAACCTGTAAGAACAGGTGGAATCAGATGAATGTAGATTATTAATCTGATTTTTAATCTGAGTAAACCTGTACAAACAGGTAGAATCAGATGAGTATAGATTATTAATCTGATTATTAATCTGATTAAACCTGTAAGAACAGGTAGAATCAGATGAGTATAGATTATTAATCTGATTATTAATCTGATTAAACCTGTAAGAACAGGTGGAATCAGATGAGTATAGATTATTAATCTGATTAAACCTGTAAGAACAGGTGGAATCAGATGAGTATAGATTATTAATCTGATTAAACCTGTAAGAACAGGTGGAATC